AAAGGCTCTTTGTGGCGTGATCCCAGATCTCCAAAAGGCTCTTTGTGGCGTGATCCCAGATCTCCAAAAGGCTCTTTGTGGCGTGATCCTAGATCTCCAAAAGGCTCTTTGCGGCATGATCCCAGATCTCCAAAAGGCTCTTTGTGGCGTGATCCCAGATCTCCAAAAGGCTCTTTGTGGCATGATCCCAGATCTCCAAAAGGCTCTTTCTGGCGTGATCCCAGATCTCCAAAAGGTTCTTTGTGCTGTGATCCCAGATCTCCAAAAGACTCTTTGTGGCGTGATCCTAGATCTCCAAAAGGAACTGTACAATAGCAGCAACATTTCCTTATTGGTATCTATAGAGATGCATGCAAGCTGTGCATCAATGTGTGGGCACATAAAGCCCCCCGGTTTCAGTGATGTTAAATCCAAGGGTGAAGCAGAAGTGCTGATTGGGGTCCATTCAATCTGAAAGCACACTTCTGAAATCATGTGTTCTGGGGTTTGTAGTGATGTGAGATGCTGACTTTCACTGCATCTGTGACAAAAGAACCAGCCATTGAAGACATCATTATCAGATAGATCTCACAAGAATTAATCGATCATCTAGCCAGTGAAACAGTGCCATGTTCAGCAGGGAGATAAATGGGAGCACAGGGTCACATATCGAAAACAATAAGAAATTAAATAAGAATTGGGAAAAGTGTTACCTTTTATGCAATGATTGATGTCCAAAAGGCTGTTCATTTTGCTGGTTATATTTAAAATATGTGTACAGGAAGCCTCATATAGTATACTGTTCCATTGTTTGATGTTATTTTTGTCCTTGTGCATAATGTATTTTGTAATTTCATTGCAGTTGATGGAGATATGTCTCATCTCACTATAAACATGCACGCAGCTGACGGCAAATTAGTACCTTGAACCTTGAGATGATTTGATAATTTTCCCTTAATCTCTTAGAGAAATTATGTTAAACAGGATGGATGCAGAAATGCCTACATGTATTGAACTTCTTTAACATACACAACAGAAGTTTCCCAGCATGCAACATTTTCTTTAAAAAAAAACATTTATCCAGACCGCTTTTGTTCCAGGTGTCTCCTGTTAAGAAAAACTGGATGAACTATGAGGAGGGAGAGCTGGCAGGGCGCAGAGAGCGCAAGTAAGAGAAACCGTCTGAGCAGAATGCAGAGAGATCGCATGGCCCTCGCATACCCTGCGCTGCATGTGTCAGGGGAGAAGGCACCCCCAGCTCCCCAAATTAATGGCTGCTGGGAGTTAGGGGAGAGGCACCTGGATGCATCCGACAATCCATCTTCCATATCTACCCAGGCTTTCACTCAGAAGAGATTAGAGGAGTTAAAAAATGCACACATGTAGCCACATGATCTATGAACACATCGGTAGTTTGTAATTTGTTACCCTGGAGGAGAACAATGTATAAAATTTGATAATTAAAAATGTGCCATGATACATAAAGAAGGATTGATTGTAGACTACTTTTAAGTGGAAAGCTTTGTCGCCCCCTGTTGGTGAATAAAAAAATACTTTTTGTTAAAAGTACTGATGGACTGAAGGCCCATGGTTTAATGTTTGAGCAGGAGAGTAGTTAGAGATTAATGGATGGGGGGGCTAAGTCTTTACTGGGGGGGCCTGATGGCAAACTATTCATAACTTAAACCAATAAATACACATTCATTCATTCATTTATTATTCCTTTTTCAAAATTCAGAAAATGGTAGAAGAATGAGAAACCAGGCTTGAAGCTGGAGATGCTGAGTGAATTTGGATGAGATGAAGACAGTGATAACAGTGAAGGTGATATAGACCCTTCCACGCATGGGGGCGTGCTGAGCTTCAGAGACGAGAGCATGGGCACCTCGACCACAAACGGGATCCCCCAAAGACAGCTGCTGTCTACACAGGATTTTCATCAGTGAATGTTATGCTGGCTGGTGACATGCGGCGTCGTCACTTTCGGAGTTGGGTTGTGATGGAATAGTCATGTGCTGGTTTCTATGAGAGCAACAGTTCAGCACATTCTGAAGGAGACTCCGGGACCAACTTCATACACTGCACTGCGTGACAGTGCAATTAATGTTATCAGGTAACTGGAATGTAAAAGCAAGCAAAGGTTTACTAATAGCTTTGCAAGGTGAAATGACTCACAATCCAGTTAAGCACAAATCTCATGTTGGCTCACATAAGCATTAGAGGTGCAGCTACAGGACAGGCAGGGCAGGCAATGGCAGGGGGGCCCTGAACTGGCAAGGGGGCCCAAGGAGGCAGATTACAGAGTACATTGCAACGACAAATCTGCTTTGGGTATTCTGTTTTTCCACAAAAGTGAAAATTAAAGACTTGTCTATTAAATTCTCTTTGTTGATATTAATGGAGACTTCATGGTAAAATTATGGTAAATTTTACTATGTCAGGGGAAGGGGAGTTGGGTATTCTTTTGCCTATGGCCCCCAGAGCCTCTAGAATCAGCTCTGCACATTCCTATTTGTGTTTCGCACGGTGGATTAATAAAACATTAGCGATATGCAGAAGTTTGCTCAGTTTGCCCACATTTCACCATGAATAGGAGTGAGCAAACTGACTGGAGCTGAACTGAAGGAGCACAACCCTAAGAGACACTTATATACATGACTTACACAGGAGTAAACAGTAGGCAGCTGTAGCTTGTTAACAAGGGGGCAGGAAGACGAGGTGAGACTAACAAGCTCCAGGCGCGGCTGATTAGCAGGACGGCCAAGGGAAACGCTGGGATCTACAGGTAGGGCGGGTGGGACGTGATTAAAAAAATAACCCTGATATAAAAATCTGATGATGTAATGCGTTTTGAAATTTATACATTTTTGGATAGATATTTGATTAGGATCCTGGTTACACGCTGTCATCCTTAATCCTATTTTTCCCTGATATTTTACTGGACCATAAATGATGGGCAATGAGTGGAGATTGCCAAGTGACAAATAATTTAATTAATTTACTGCAGCATATTTCTTTCATGTGTTGCAAAATGTTACTTTGTATTATGGAGAGATTCTACATCTTAGAAGGGAAGTACTTTGAAATGTATTCTTCTTATAGGTAGAAGCAGATATGCAACATAAAGACACGTAAAACATTAATTCACTTCAGTACTACAAACTGCAATCTGAAAACAGATTCATTTTTTGTTACAATTTTGTTTTTTTTATCCATCAACTTATTCAATATGAGTGAGCAAAGTACTATTCTTCATACTATCTGTATGCTAATGTGCATGTTGTTTTTATCAGCATCTGAAATGATTGACTGCTGTGGAACGGCAGGTTTGCTTGGGGAGTTCAGTGTCAATGGGCAGCTCTTTTACAGTAAGAAAAAACTAAACTCCATGCCTCATTTAGCGGCGTGTTGTGATTCTCACTGGAGGTTTCTGATGGTCGCCAGATAAGCTGTCTGGTATGTACTCCACTCTCTTTCATGTTACATGCATTATATGGAATGGCCTTCAACAAAAACTGAAGGAGAGTGGATGGATGAGAGCTGAGACATGAAATCAGGAGGGTTGGAAAGGGAGAAGGAGAGTGATGCAGCTCACCATTAGGATGAAAGAGATCAATATCTCTGTCGACTGCAGCCAGCGGACACATTAGCTGAGACTTTCTGCCACGCCTATAGACTCAGCAGGGACATTTATCAAGGAGGGAGAGATGGGCTAGACAGGCATTGTGGAAAGGCCGACCTAGACAGGCATTGTGGAAAGGCCGACCTAGACAGGCATTGTGGAAAGGCCGGCACACACACCGGCTAGCAACGGTGCCTTCTATCGCTGCACATACACTGCAATTAAAGCAATACAGAGAGGACTAACAGGTACCCTGTGGAAATTTCTGCAGTGTTCTATGCATTTTGGGTGTTGTGTTGCTCACCAGCTTGGGTCTCTGTGCCCATGATCGGATGGCCGCTGGTTCTTGTGACTGGCAGAATGAATTACTGCTGGGCCCTTGAGCAGGTGTGGATTAATGCATATATTTTAAAATCAGGGGCCACAGCCAACAAAACAGGGGCCCCGTCTTGGGGAAAATGGGCTGGTTAAGCGATATCCTCCCCCGATCACCATATTTCAACACCAGCACCTGCTCTCGCACTGTTACATCTTTGGTGGTTAGAAAATTTATCACCATTTTTACTTTTCTCTGTTGTTCTTATAATTGTAATTTCTGTCATTTCTGTCTGTGGTGACACCAGACAGCAGTAAACACGCTGCACACTGACTGATACTGTATCTGATTGGACAGAAAAGGACATCAGCTGACTATGGTGCCATCCAAGCAGTAAATTATTTGCATCTGGAAAAAGTTTTTATGAGTCGATATGAAAATACCACAGAAGGTTTGCGTCCAATTTCTTAAATATTTATTTCATGTCAATGAACAAAATTAAATACTTTCACAGCAGTGGTCAACAGCACTTAAAATTGTTCAAATAATAGAACTGATAATAATACTAATAATTATAATTCAGATTCATTGGAGGCCACATTTTAAACACAAACATTTACAAGTAGTACTTGGCATTAAAAACAATGGCAATACAATATATTTTAAGACACTTGGTGTTTTTTTTTAATAATTTTGTTTCATTTTAATATCACAGAGGTTCAGCAACAGTCTAAACAGTAAATATTGATTTAGATACAAAACCACTGCGAAACGTCTAGGGGCCATCAGAACAGAATGGGACTAAATTAAAAGGAAATAAAACATTCAAACTGCTTTACTGGTATTACAAACTTCAACCATCAAATGTTCCCCCACTCACCAACACTCAGTTGTAATTATAATCATAATAAATAACACGTACATACGTTTGCAAAAATATTCCCATATTTCCCTTTATGTCAAGGCTCATAGTGTTGAATAGTTCACATTGAAACAAGTAAACAAAGAGAGAGCGGGGTAATAGGGGAAAAGGTCCTTCATGCATTATACACAACGGCGACAATGTTGCAAATATGCCACAAGAGGGCGCAGGCTGACACAAGTCAAAAATGGCCGCTTTCCCAAGGCATATAGTTCTGTATTAATACTGTTTCATAAAAAGGATCCTGTCCTGAAGCTGAGGAAAGTATTTGATTTTAACAAGCCACTAAAATGTCTCACACTAATTTGTGAGATACTACACTTCTCTTGAATATTAGTGGGCAAAAAGTCTCAGTTACTACAAAACAATCTATCCGACCTGGTCTAATTTCTCCTGATTTTTAAAAGCCTGACTGCGCCACAGCTACTCTGAGCCTTAAACAAGGTGCATGAAATATCAGCCCTTTTCCACGATTATCTTGACTATAATTCTCAGTATTAGAAAAACGCCTGCGGATGGAATATCGCTGTAATCCAGTGGGTGTCCTTTGGTTACGATGGATTCCAAGCTGGCAAAGCATCAGTACAGCATAGATAAGACATGCAGGATTTCTGACACCCTAAGCAGGGCCGCGTTTTTAGAGTAATGATGTCACAAGTTTATAAAGTTACGGCTTTTGTGTAGGCAATTTTTTCTTCGGCTTATTAAATACATGCCAGTGGGTCAACAATTAAGTGATACAATACCGATGAACTTCCTTGAGAGACAGGATTGTGTCGATCATGTGTTGTTCAGTACCTTAAGTAAACATCAGGTTTGACTGCCATAAATCAGCAACAAGTCGAGAAGAGCAGATTGTGTGGACAATGGCACATGGGACAGACGGTCCGTTATCGTACTGTTACGTATACTGCGAAATGTATTAAAAACAAGCCTGTGTGACAAAGAAAACACAGAAACAGATGGGAGGTAAACGATAAAATTCAAAATATGCAAGACCATATGAATTTATGTACATATGTGTGTATGTGTGTACATACACATATATACATATATTATACTATATAAATTTATCTATACTTTTCCATATAGTATATTGCAAAGCATTACGCTATGTTGACAATAATAAAAAAAAGTAACAACTACCTTTACTATTTGTTTTTGTATTTTGCAATATGTAGTACGAAATGTACCGAAATCTTCAGTGGTGTCATTCTTTAGGTGTGACCCTGGCCAAACGTTAACGGTTAAACGGTTCGGCTGGGCTATGGAAATGCACCGTGATGTCCCTCCTTAGCACGGCTGAGCAGTACAGGCAGGCGTCCCTCCTGTGTCTCCTTCACTTCAAGTCCAAAACGTCTTCCTCGAAGGAGGACGTGAGTGCAAAGGGGCTGGCCAGCGAGGGGCTCTCCTCCCGCACCTCGATGCGCTCAAGCTCCGCTTCAGAGCTAGATGAGCAGTGCCGCGGGGCATCCGAATCCGTGTCCGCCGACTCAGAGCCCACTCTGCAGGAAAGCAGCTTGCTTCAGCACAGATGCAAAGCATCAAGCACAAGTGCAACAGTAATCGGATTAACAGCGCCTTAATATCGACAGCAGGTAAAAATGGAATATTGGCCCACATTTGATTTAATAAGGTCAAGTCTTATTGTCTTTAATGGCTTTTGAGATATGGCTGGTGGGCTATCTCCTGACTTGATGAGTGGGGACTAGGGTTGCAAAATTCTAGGAATATTCTTGTTAATTCCCATACTTTCCCATTAATTCCCATGGAAAGTTTCTAATGTGGAATATTTCCAAAATTCCCCAGTTTAACTTCCCATGGAACGAAAAGTTTCTGGAAAATTTCCATAAATTTTCCAGCCCTTTGCAACCCTAGTGGGGACCTCACTTTCATTTTCATGCCAGGGTTCAGTCCTTGATGGTGGGATTTCATAACAAATCCCAAATTCATTACAAAAAAAATGTTTTTTTTTATGCTTTATTTTGGTGCCTAGCTTAGTAGGCTTCTATGAGAAAAGTGAGGGTGAAACTAATCACTAGAAAATCGCTGCATTTTAATGGATGACCTCAGTGTAGCTTTTGAAGGAAGTAAGGACAAGGCATAGGCTGGCAAAAGGAGTAACCTCCATTTTTGTGAAAAAAAAAAATGCATGTGACATTTCTGGACAGAGAAATTATAAGCTGAATGTGAAGCATTTTGGGCTGCTTTTCACACTATCTTCAAGTCCACCTGCCGGTACCTATTAGCATATACTGTAACAGAAGTGTAGACAGATGAAACAAACCCTCATATTATCCCCTTTGCCCTGATATGGCAGACAGGTATAACGTAACTCTACCACGGTTACATTGCACTAGGAGAAAACTCCAGTTACTGTTGAACTAACACATTGTCCAAAACTAAATAAAATTCATTAATTATGTGAAATTCAACTCTTGACCTTAAAAAACTGTTTAAGATGAAGTGTGAGAAACTGGTATCTAGGGGTAACCATGTGGAATAGTGACAAGTTTGAACTGTATTAAGTAAATATAAAACAGTGTTTGCATTTCGTTTAGCACTAATGTATGCTGTGAGCTCCCATGAGAAGCAACTAAGCTGGTCTTGCCGTGACACGTCACGTTGGTCTTTGAACTTACTCTAACGTCATTGCTCATACTGTCAACAATTCTGTTAGCACTTCGTTAGCAACCCATTAGCAGAACATGAGGTAGCATCAGTTAAGAAGCTTCATCAGGTCTGAAATCGGTGTTAAACATACACATTTAGGGCACTATGTTACTGTATTCATATCCTTAATCCTTAGTTATGGTCACTTTCATGTCCCATGCATAGCTAATATTTCATGGAGGCCATTTTTGTACCAACATTTCACTGGATGGGCGACATGGCGGCGCAGTGGGAAGCCTCATACCTCCTAGGTTGTGGGTTTTAATCCCATTCTGTGTGTGTGTGTTTGTGCTGTTTGCATGTGCTCCTCCTGCTGTGTGGGATTCCTCTGACCCAAACCATGTGGCTTGATGTCTCTAAGTAGCCCTGCATCTGCCCTGTGACGTGTCCCACGTAGGGTGTTTGGGTAGCCCCTTTGGCATGTCCCATGTAGGGTGTTCAGGTAGCCCCTTTGACGTGTCCCACGTAGGGTGTTCAGGTAGCCCCTTTGACGTGTCCCACGTAGGGTGTTCAGGTAGCCCCTTTGACATGTCTCACTTAGGGTGTTTGGGGAGCCTCTTTGACGTGTCCCACATAGGGTGTTTGGGCAGCCCCTGTGCCTCTGGGATAGGCGAACCAAGTGACCAATGTAAGCTTCCTCCCCCCCAGCCTTTACAGAATGGATGTATTGAAAATGTCACCATGTGGCCTCACACACTTGATGGCAGTGCTTCTATAGCCGCCAAGTACAGTTAAGTAAAGGCGGCTGGGCTGTGCATTCCTTAACACGCCGAGTTTCCCTGCTGTGAGACATGGAGACACCTGAGATGTTTAAATGGCAAAGGCCAAAGAGATTATCGCTACTAACCTGGACAAACTGTATGGAACACGGGTGTTAACCAATTTGATTCTATGCTGTTTCGTACTTAATCATGTCAGTTGCTGATAGAAGTGCTGAGTAAGGACTGAATGTAGATCCACTTTTAAAATACTCAACTATCAGAACATTCATGCATCTGAAAGATGTCATAAACTTTCTGCGATGGGACATGCTTCATTCAGACTTCAGTTAATACTTAAATCTTACACACTAAACCTTGAGGTTACGCACTAAACTTTGAGTTAATGCATTTTTGCGCTAGTTTAGTGGTCTAAGCCTACAGATTTTGTGCACTTTGGTTGCAAACTAAATACTGCATATATTCTATTATTTAAATGCTTTTTTATTGAGTTTGAGCAGAGTGGTGGCTCTGAGGCTAGGGATCTGTGGCAGTTGTAAAGTTGCTGGTTCAAATCCCGTGAATGCCCGGAGTGAGTCTACTCTGTTGGGCCCTTGAGTAAGGCCCTTAACCTGCAGTAGCTTTGTCCTGGATATGACATCCAGCCCTGCAAGGAGGTCCTCCAACTTTCAGGGAAAATTTGGGGGTTGGTGGCAGGATTGGCACTGCAGCCACTGGAAAAAACTCACACTGGTCCATTTGGACTAGTGTGGTGCTGAGGTATTGCCTGTTGCACGGCTGCACTCAGGTTCTCATTCCAGAGGTGGTTTGTCGTGTCGTGGCTGTGGCAATGTGCCGTAATCAGCATGTGCTCCTCCCAAGTATGATCAGTCAACAATGTAGCAGCAATCGTGGCATATGATTCATTAGTAAAACCTTTTCTGATTGAACGAAGTAGACTTATAATTATAATAAAACCAAATAACCCCAAACATGCATGTGTTTTCTGAGGAAGCATCACTGAACCTGAAGACCTCCAAAAATCCTTCAGAAGTGCAATGACTGAGCACATTGCTCAGTTAAGGATGGTAGCTGGTTTAGCGCTCAGCGTGCTCCGTGGATGTCCAGGTCCAGTGCCAGTGCCCCTGCGCTGCGGACTCCGCCTACCTGAGCGCCTCCTCACCTGTCACTGCTGGCTGACCTCAAGGTCCTCGGTTTGGGCTCCTTCTCTGCCAGCCTCTTGCTGGTCTTCCTCTGCTTCACCGTGTTCTCTGATTTACTGCTGGGCTCCTCCGTAAGACCTGCTCACAGATATGAATGTCAGCATTGTCCATCGGCCATGGATGCCGTTTCCCAAAATGATATCAGTGCCAGGGTCACCATAAGAGCAACTGTCATATATCCCTGCCCTTGGGGAGACCTGGATTCAACTCCCAACCAATGCGTTATACGTCTTCCAAAATCTCCCTTCCATAAAGTTTTTATTTTTTTAATGATAATTTAATTGTTATGAAAACGGAGTGGATTATGGTCACCTCACGGTGGCACATGAGAAGGCTGCTTTATTATTTACTTTATTATTCATTATTGTTTATGATGTTCTTGTTTTATTGGATTAACCGGGACCGTGTGTACACAATTTCGTTCCACCTCATGCAATGAGATGCGAATGACAATAAACTTCCTTGACCTTGACCTTGCATGAGAACGTACTGTAGCTGAAACAGGTTTACACTGAGCCAGTGTGAAACAGGAGTGTTTTGCCTCAGCTCACCAAGAAGCTCCTTCCGCGTGCGGCTGGCAATCTCCTTGATTTCCATGCGGGACAGAGAGAGAGAGTGCGAGACGGACACCACGGGGGAGGGAGTGGGCGCACTGGGCACAGGCGTGGTCACCACCTTGTTGACAAGCGGCGACTTCAGGGGCCTCTCGATGCTGCGGCCCACCAGGTTGCACAGGGGGATCCTGAAGATGTGCTTCGCCTGAGCCTCACCTTCAGAAGGGGGGGGGGCAGAGCAAAGGGAGAACGACCAAGACATGGTGGTGGGATGGAGAGTACAGGACAGCAAAGAATGAAGGGTGATCCTGTAAGACCTGAGAGAATGAGCTACAAGACCTCCTGGCGCAGCCGGAAGTGATAGAAATCTCATGTAAAACTAGTACTACAGCTAATACAAAGTACTCGTAGTACGGTGAGTATATATCACCCGTTAAACTAGTACTACAGCTACTACAAAGTACTCGTAGTATGGTGAGTATATATCACCCGTTAGCTAACTATGCAAAAGTTGTAGGTTTAGATCCTCGCAAACACACATAAATGATAACAATTCCCTCTGATGTTGTTTAACATTAAAATGTCAGATACAGATGTTAGCCTTTATCTGCTACTTGTGCCTTAGGATAACTCTCTACATTGATAATGGGTAACAATGAAAATATTTGTTTTTTCAGAATTTTTAATTTAATAAAAAGCTAACCGCCTTTATGGAACCAATTACCGCAAGGTGTGTTTGTGTTTGTGTCAATTAACATGCCAGTTAAGATATCGGGCATCAGGCTGAACTGTCTCCCACAGATGCATGCTAATGTAGAATGTTAAAAATAACGAGACACTTTAGAATTTAGCATAGCGATGACTATACAATCATGTGAACAGCACAGTCCAGGGGATTATGTATGTCCCAGCATGTCCCATATCAACACTGTAAAGTTGTGTGTAAATTTTCAGCACTCATCTACACTTGAACTAATGTAACAGTCATTACAATGACATATCAGCCATCGTATTAGTTCCAGATGCCATGTTTGCAAGATTTCTGCCTGGTACAATTTCTGTTTTTAGCAATATTTAATATTTTAAATGACTGTCTGCTAATATAAAACCAGATTATTTAGTAATTTCAATTAACTTCAATAAACATAGTTTTAAGTGAAGATAATGGTAACAATTAACAAATAATACTTTAGCAGTAATAGAAACATTACTTCTCTGGACTACCACTGAATTACTGTCTTTTGTGTGTCCAAAAACTCTGTAATTCTCTTCACCAAGCCTTTTGACCATATAAAAGCCGCGCCTTGCTTAATAATCAACATTCAGGCCTGATCCCAATAGTAGACAAAGCGGCCTGCTGCAAGGTTCTGCTCCAGGACTACGGGGCCTGAATTTATGGGGGACTTTCAGGGTTCAGTAACTTAATGTGGCCATCAGGGGGCACCAGGTGCAGGTTTTTCCTGCAGCTCCGACTTCTGAGAGTGGAATGCTAATAATACAGATTTGTGAATAAATCGTTGGAAGTCTGCACTGTGCAAAGCTCAGACGAGAAAGTCAGGTCAAAGGTGAGACAAAACCAACATGCGATGGAGGAAATCAAATGCACACTGAACACTATTAGACAGTATATTACAGCACTGAGTTCCCAAAAAAATTAAATGCAGAGACAAAATGTTAGTCGAAACTAATATATGGAATTACTTTGGAATATACATATGCGTGTTAAGGGAGATGTTAAAAATGCTGTTATGTTCAACCATCTACATTCCTGTGATAGGATATGATACTGGGATATTAAAACATTATTACATTTCTGGGTTTAGCCAATTAGAGGAAGCTCTTACATTCAGACTCAAACAACATCTAGTGCAACAGAAAGCTAAATAACAAAGAAATTAAACTAATTAAGGAAATTAGACAAATTAAATAAATTAGACAAATTAAGTACATTTTCAGTTTCAAGCTGGGACTGCTTGTTGCGTGTATAACTATTAAACATTCTTTAGAATGAAGCAAATTAGATCTTTCATTTTGGTGCCCAGTATCATATGATATTATGAATATCAGATATCCATAATATGACAGTCTAGGGTGGACAGCATTAGCAGAAGCCCCTGCAGAGCACACAGGAGGAGTACGAGCAGCTGGCGAAAGGCTTCCTGTTTTGTTACTGCCTCCTCGGCATCTCTGGCTGATCTTACCACTGGCCGAAGGATGGCTTTAACAAAATGATACACGGGGCCGGCGTTGTTAGGGCGTCATGCTGTGTCAGGGCCCTCTCCCTCCCCCCGCTCTACCTCGACTGAGCAGCATTGCCGGCGAGAGGTGCGGGAATGCTGGCAAGCGGAGGGCACTGCAGCTGCATGCTGCTGCTAATGACGGGCATGCTGGCGAAGTGACAGAGCAGGAGCTCAGAGACTCCTTAAATACCTTCGGCTTCTTTGGACATGTACTGGGAGAGCTTGCTGCCGTAGGGTATCCTAATAGAATCTGATGTTTGAAAGGAAACACAACAAAGCACAGTGTGTTTATGACACATCGGACAGAGAGAGGAACACGACGGTCGCACTGAGAGGTCCTGAGGCAGCTGAGACCTCTACTTCCAGGGCCTTGCAGATGTTCTCTGCGGACAGCTCCTAAATTTCTCCTGTTCCTGTATGAAGCAGCTGCTTTATGTAAAGGAATCCCATTCATATCCAAATCTAAATGAATGCTAGGACCTGATCATTTAAACCCCTCAGGGTCATTTCCACAGCTGGCTTTCTGCGGAGCTAAAGCGCCATGAGCATTAGACACATGGCCGCTCAGGTTTGCGGGGACTGTCTGATCCCGGGTATAAATCCACCCAGCTTTGATCCCCACTCGAACATTTCTAATATTCCCTGTTTTGCATTTCAATACTCAGTTTGATCAATCTTTTATTAACAAATGATGTCCATGGTTAAGAACCCCTTGCCTACATACTATATGTAACCCTTTTATGTAGATTACGTAATTTCTGTTTTGTTGTAATTTTCCTGTTACTGAGGTTGAAGTCAGAACTTTATCTAATCATAAATCCAGAGAGTGAATTACCAATTCCCCATTATTGCACCCCCCCCCCCCAAAAGATTGATGTTTTCGTTTAAGCGTGGGCCGCCCGCTATAAACGTCAAGGACATTGTGTACGAGCATTGTTGCCAAGTTACAGATATATTAAGTTGATTAGATTCATCAGAGGAAAGCATTACCTAAACAGCCTTTTTTCTAAGTCTCAATAAGTACTATTTAATACACTTCAGTTTTAAAAACGAAACAGAACAGAAATGTTTTTACATCATTTGGCATGATAAATCATACTAGCAAAGTGGACTGGATCAACCTAAACAGTGGTTCATGACAGAGGCTAAACAAGTCAAACCAACAGGGAAATCTTCACTGCAAGAGGGGTCTCAGTTTCATAACCACACAAGGAATAAAGGTGGGCTTTAGAGTTCAGATTCAGGAAAGAAGCAATGTTTCATATCTGCTCCTAATGCCTCTGACATGTATATGTGGCATAAAGAAAATATCCCAGTTAATTTATAACTCATGGCACAAATGTCATGGAAGCAGTCTAAAATGGAATAAAAATAATTTTTAAAGAGATACTTAATTGTATGGTAGCAAAAAGCACTCGGAATACTGTTAAAGAGTCGTAAAGCCTTTCATATTTCGTGGAGCAAATGTGAGTTTATGACCTGTGCATCAGCATCAACTTATTGATTGTCAGTAAGCTGCATGTAGGAGTTTTAACCTTGTACTGTAGTACCTGTTCAGTGGTCAAATAGTAGCAGTAATTAAGCAGCACTCCACACTTTCAGCTTAGAGAGCTGTTCTGGTCAGAGGATCTCATGGATAACACAGTCACTCTGCTTGACTTGGCAAACAAGAGGACGCTTTAATGATGAACGAGTCAGGGCTCTGTTTACAGCCACATTAATGCAAATGGCTACTGTCCTTATTTAGTTAAAAGGTTATTCCTCCATATTTATGCCCATATATGGTTCTGAGAACTGATGGGCTGCTCTCAGGATGCTCAAGCTAATCTCCAATGTGTGCTAATTGCTGAGAGGACAGCAAAAGGAGCGGGGGACTTGGGGCACCCTGGATTCGGCTCCAGCTTTTTATACAGAACTTTAGAGCAGAACTTTAAAGTTCTGCAGTGTAAATGTAACTAATACACACATGCACACACACACACACACACACACACACACACACACACACACACACATGTAGGGTAAACATATCCTTATGGGGACCACTCATTAATTTCAATGGGAAAAATGCTAGCGCTAACTATGACAACCTTAACCCCCACCCTGCCCTAACCATAACCATAAGTAACATAACAAAATACAAGAGTTTTGGAATTTTTAGTTTTTTCATAGCAGTCACCGATTTTTATAAAATAGAGTTTTCCCTTATGGGGACCAGGAAACCGGTCCCCATAAGGGAAAAAAACCGAATATTTATCACGTTATGGGGACATAAGGATACATGTAGGTAAACCCGCTCACACACACACACACACACACACACACACACACACTCAGCCCAGATGGACTTGTTTACATTCTTCAAACTGTCACATCCTCCTTCCAGATCCATCCTCATTCACAGTAAACCTGTCACTAATCAGCAGCGGGCACCTAATGACTCAGCTAGGCTTTAATTACAAGGCCGGATGTTTCTGTCTGGTCCCAGCAGGCTGAAGGGGGCGCCGCACACGCCACAGACTAGTCTGGCTCTTATGATTAAATTTAAACTGGTGCGCAAGTTTGCAGCAAAACATCATAAACTTCAGCTGATTCCCCCTGTGCTATCTCTGAACTATCAGGAATGTCTCTGAGAATGCACTAGTTCCAGCACACTTTCCTTCACGGTCTCCAAACCGTACCAGAAGTGCAGGTCCAACACTCCGGTTCATGAATAAATTCCACTCATTTGGGTTTATTTCTTCCCCTCTTGTCATCTACACCAATCAGCTTGAGGACCTTGTATTAGTGCCATTTCGCAAGTTCACCAGTATCTCAAAGGGGTCCACCCCCCCTCCCTAATGATCACCTCAAACACCCCTTTCACTATACTTGTGAATTCAACTGCATTAGAGGCCTCAGTGCTTTGGGTCCTTTCAACACCATCCTACAGGAGGCGCTCACCATCTCCCAGTGGCGAGGGGAAGACAGGCATCTCATAAGCTGTGGGGGTCTGAGGGGAGCTTTGAGAACTGGTGTCTCTGGAGCTACAGTTGGAAGCTGCGTTCAGAGATATCAGACTGCAGAGTGAGAGAGAGAGGGGGGATTGAAATACAGCACAACAGAAAGAAACAATTGTAACACTGATGCAGGTATATCTTCTGCCCTGACTTTGATAATATTTTATAGTACAATATATTTTTTTATAATCACATTCTGTACATTTTCAACCCACTGAGCATGAGTTACAGGACATACATTATCATCCCAACTAAGTCTGTCCAGTTAATTAATTGTTCAAGTGCACCCCCTTATTCCGTGTATTTAATTTTTCACATAGAATTACATATTAAACATCGCTTTAAAGTTTTGATTGCAATCAAAGCAATAATAGCGCTGCAGCACAAATGGCAAATCGACTAACATTTATACTGCAGAAATGACACCTTAATTCTCCTATGTACTGCAGTAATCACAGACATACCACTGTTCCTATGTACTGCAGAGATCAGAGACATACTGCTATTCCTATGTACTTCAGTAATCAGGGACAGATTGCTGTTTCTATGTACTGCTGTGATCAGACAAACCGCTGTTCCTATGTACTGCAGTGATCAGCCATAATGTTGATCCTATGTACTGCAGTGATCAAGGACAGACTGCTCTTCCTTGCACTGCAGTGATCAGGGACAGACTGCTGTTCCTATGTACTGCAGTGATCAGACAAACCGCTGTTCCTATGTATTGCAGTGATCAGACAAACCGCTGTTCCTATATACTGCTGTGATCAGACAAACCGCTGTTCCTATGTACTGCTGTGATCAGACAAACCGCTGTTCCTATGTACTGCAGTGATCAGACATACCGTTGTTCCTATGTACTGCAGTGATCAGACATATCGTTGTTCCTATGTACTGCAGTGATCAGGAACAGACTGCTGTTCCTTTGTGCCACAGCTTAGATAAACAGGTGGGGCAAAGATAACAGTGGCTGCTCTGTTTACGGGAGCCAGCGAGCTCCCTCACCCTGGATGCAATCAGCTGCAGCTCAGGCACCACGGCGGTGTACACCAGGTTGCCGTTCACCACCAGCCGAATCTCGATGGAGTCTGTAGTGAAGGCTAGGATGTAGGGAAAAGCACACACTGGAAAACAAATAAAAGACAAACGTAAGAACTATGTACATAACAGGACTAAATATATAATTCATGCAGGAACTGAGTCAAAGGCTTAGGAAAAATAAAACTGAGAGTTAAGTACCGATGGAGTTAGGCATCTGATTCCAGCTGAAATGGAAGTCAGAGCTGCCGGACTGGATCATAGTTGTAACTCCATTAAATGGACATACTTTTTTATAGTAGCAGATGTCTGTGAAAGAAATCATACACACAACATATTCATGTTTTGAAAATCCGAACAGTTTGAATGTAGTGCTTTTCACAACATGGTTGCTCCAAAGAAATTAACACCATGTCTAGCAACAGCATTACCAACAAACATAAAGCTACTTTAAAATGCAACTCATGAAATTACAGACAATTAAGAATGCTAACAAATACAACCAGGTAAATACTGCTCTGAAAGCTCGAAATCTCTTCTCTCTTATGTTATACAAAGTTAATTCCTAAACACCTGCTGCATACCACACTCTTCCTTCCCAAACCCTTTCTATACCATACCCTAACCGCATACCACACTCTTCCTTCCCAAATTCTTTCTATACCATACCCTAACCGCATACCACACTCTTCCTTCCCAAACCCTTTCTATACCATACCCTAACCGCATACCACACTCTTCCTTCCCAAACCCTTTCTATACCATACCCTAACCGCATACCACACTCTTCCTTCCCAAACCCTTTCT